GTAGAGGGGGAGAATCACCTCCCTCCCCCTGCTGGTCACGCACCTCTTGATGGAGCCCAGGACACGGTTGGCTTTCTGGGCTGCAAGTGCCACTGACGGCACGTGTTGAGCAAAGGTGCGAATGTGTGCGAGTGCACACGTGTGAGGGGTGTGTGCATGTGCAATAATGCAAAAAATGTTTGTCCTGACGGTGCTGTGAGCAGCGTCACCACCGTGTTGGGTAAGGAGGAATGGGGCCATGCACCCACGCTTAGAGGTCGCCGTGTGGTCAGGGCTCCTGAGCAGGCGCGTGGGAATCTTTGCACTCTCCAATGAGCTTGGCAGGACCAGTGCGAAAAACTGCTGGAGCTAGAAATTGTGAGACCACAGCGCTGCACTGAGAGTGATGGAGTGTTGAGAAGCAGCCCCAGAGTATCCACACCAGCCCCAACCCTGCTCCTGTGTAGCCGTCATACCTTGAGGAGGTGCCCAGGGCTGTGATGAGGGCCTGCAGCAGCCCCGCAATGAACACCCAAGGGTTTCTGTGAGTGACAATGAAGTAGAGCAGTGGCAGGATGCAGAGGGCATGAATGAGGAGTCCGACGATCACGGTGAGCGTGTACATCCCCAGCTGGCCTCCCATCACTGCTAAGTCATCCATCTCCAGGATTTTGCCAGCAATTAAAAACATGATCCCAACTGGAGCATACCTGTGGCAGAAACACAAGGCCAACGCTCAGAACTGGCACCCACACTTTCACACCAGCTTTCATGCATGCTGTCCGGACAAATCCCCAAAAAGCCAGTGCACCAGAAGTGCTCACTGGACCTAAATGCTGGATGGTTCTGCTTGTTTCTTTTTTTGGAAACCTGGAGAAAGCTGGGACTTGTTCACCACATGGCCAAAAAACAGCTCTTGTTGCACTGTTGGGGATCCCAGCATTCTGTGGTGCACACAGCTTGGGCACTGGTGGAGTTTTCCTCCTACTCCTCCTGGGTTCCCTATGAGTTTTCACAACACTCCTTCTCGAATTGGTAGGGGAGGTTATGTAGAGGAGTCTTCAGAGTCCCTTCTTTTCCTAACAGAGCTTGGGCTGAGAGGGGCATAGAAAAGTACAGGAGAAATAGGAAATAATGGAGTAAAAGCAATAGTGTCCTATAGGCTCTGGGATATCAGCCTTGATATTTTCATACCTCACATTAGGGAACAGGGACATGTAGAGAATCCACACCTAGTGTAGCAAGGACTGGGTGCAACAACATCTGTGAAAGCAGCCTTGGCTTATATAAAAACTCATCCTTTCCATTCCTTATGGCTTTTTTCCCCTCCTTAACAACACATCTCATGAACAGCAGTGAGGCTCCACAGAAAGGAAGCCGTAACACAGACATGGAGAATATCATGGGCACTAAATTAAACATGGACAAAAAACTGGACCAAAAAAAATCCCAGCTCCACCCCCACACCTCTCAGGGCTGGGCTTCTACAGCTCAAGAGGTCACATGCAGTTCATGCACAAGGCTCAGAGGTCCACATGCCAAACTCCAGCTTAGCCTGGGAGGTTTGGAAAAGTTTCAGGAAAGGATTTCACCAATATTTCATTTCCTCTGACCTTCCTCTTAGAAGGCATCCATGGCTGCAGCTAATGACCAGATTTCCCCAGGAAAAACAACCTCCTGGGAGATGCTCGGCAGACTGTGGCTTCGGGAAGGGATGCTGGGCTGCAGCTGACAGTCCTGCCTCCTGTACCAGCAGGATTTTGTACGTCAGGAGGTCTCACCAGACACTACATACTGCATGCACACAGCCAGTTTCCTGAGTGTGACCAACGTTCTGTACGGCAACACGCTGCCTCCCTTCGCTGTAAGGGGGTGGGCTGAAGGAGAGACTGTTGAAGGCACCTTGAAATTGTCTCTGGGAGTAGTGTGCAAGTCTGCTTGTTCCACTGTGCTCATGCTCTCGCTTCTGTGCCCTCAGGCAACTCCTATCTCTTCTTAGGAAAGCAAGGACTCAAATTTTGGCTCAGCCGTGGAAGAAAAGATCCCAGAGGGGTGGGGATCTGAGCTCTGCTATGAGCTCAGGGTTGTTCTTCCCCTTCGTGTCTTTCTGTGTAAGGCCCAGTCCATCCTCCTGCGCTCAGGATGTTGCTCTGAGATACAAGACTCTCACTAGAAGACCGGGGAAATGAAGCTGAAATGATCTAAAACGGGAGAGGATGTGGAGCTGGAAGATCCCGTCCCTGTGAGACATTTCCATGCATTCTGCCAGCCCCACATGTCTCCCATCTCACGGTACCTACCACAATCTGCTAGGTAGACCTTGAACCCTAGATGGGTAAAAAGCTTAAAAAATAGGATTTGGTAAAATACTGCCTTCTAGAGAAGAGTCATCTGAGCAATGCTTTGCTTATTGGGACTGTTTAGGACAGGCAGCTTTACAGAGAAAGCAAGAAGCAGCTGAGCTCTGGAGGAGTCAGGATCTGGGAGGCCTCAAATTGAAAAGGCAGTAACTTTAATATAGCTGCCACCCTGGGTAGCAGGAAAGTGGTAACGAGTTATTGTGATTCATAGCTAAGTCAGACTCCTGGAACACTGCTGGAAGGAAAGCTTTTGGTGGGAAAGCCTCACACCCTACCCCTGTTGGTAAGGCTAAGAGATCTTCCACTCCAGCTCTCTGGTCTTCCAAGGATGTTGCCAGCAGCCTCAAGGAAAGCAAGTCCTGGTGTACCTGATATTTCTAAGGTAAAAACAAAAAACAGGAAATGAAATGTGAACAAATATCCCATCCAGACTTTTCCCTCCAGCCTGATGGAGCCAAAGGAGAGCTGTGCCCATCTGCTTTTCCTATGCATGTCATCCTTAAGCTACCCCACTTCTCATCAGGTCAGCGGAAACTGCACCTGCAGACCTCCTGCTCCAACCGGCCGTGCTCCTCACCAGATGATAATGGCCACCAGCCTCATGATGGCTTCGTTGAGGCAGTTAAAGAACTCCCGCAGGGCCCGTCCCTTCTGCTTCATGCTGCCGATCACCAAACCGAAGCACATGGAGAACACTACCAGCCCCAGTGCGTTCACCCCATTGGCTGAGCCCGGGATGGGAATGACTTCTTCAAAGGTCAGCACCTCGGAGACGGTCCCCAGGGCATGAGTGATGTTCTCCAGGATGCTGGTGAAGTTCTCAGGCACAGGGATCTGTGTGGTTGCCACACCTGCTGTGACATTGCTGCTGTGGAGGACGGTTCTGGTGAAGACCCTGGTGCTGTACTGCGTCTTGTACTGAAAAGACACACATTATCAGATGCACTCACAGGTGCTGGTTGGGGAGCTCAGGACAACACGCCAGACTCTTGCATCTCTTCCTAAAGAAAACCTGCTGACCTGTGTGGGAACCTCGCCTTGCCAGTTCTCAAGCTTAGTGCTTTCGTCAAAGTGTTCATAGAGCTGAAGGTCACAAGAGACCATTGGGACATCTCATATCTCTAGGACTGGGGCATCCCGCCTTCTCTGACAACACTTTATCCTGCTTCCAAGGGCACTAACACCATGGAAGAGAAAAACCCTTGGAGAATCTGCTTCCCTTTCACTCCCGTTTCAAGCCTGCTGCCTGAGATCACACAAACCCCTCCTGACTCTGAGCGTGGGGCAGGACGGAGGTTGAAACCTCCATCCACAGACAGCTTGAAAAGCTTGCCTGGGGGACGCTGTAATGCAGACTAACGACTGCAGTGCCTCCTGCAGCAGTCAGACTCGGGGAAGCATGAGGGCAGTATAAAGCAATTGCTATCCCATCCCTCAGAGAAGTAGGTTGGACCATGGTGTAGGGCACAGGGCGCAAAGGGAAGTGATAGGCCAGGTGGGATTCCATACCTGTTTGAAGCAGGCTTCTACCAGGTTGGGTGGGAACATATTCCTGCAGTAGATAAAACAAGAAAAGAGCTATTGTCTTGTTTGACCGGCAAGAAAACGGGGGCTTCCTGGCTCCTGTCCTGGAGCACCATCTCAGGTCATAACTCTTACAGTGCCAGTGCAGAGCAGACTGGTCCTTTCTGTCTGGCAGACGGGAGCATGCTGATCTGCAACCAACCACCCTCCTGCATCTTTTCAGACATCAGAAGGTTGTATTTGACATATGTGGAATGAGGATATAGGTCCATTGTAAAAGCATTATCAAACCCAACCAAATCTTGGAACAACACCATATTACGATTTTTAATATTTTTAATATACCTCCTTGGTCTCAGCCTCCTCTCTACAGCTGTCATTTGAGCTCTCTGTTATCTTGTGCCTCAGAAACATGGCTGCAAACTGCTTGAGACGGTTCAGCTTTGCAACTCACTGTGTAAGGTCACAGGAAGGGAGGGAGTGTCTCGGGAACCACTTCCTCAATTTCCTTGGGTCAGAGAAGATCGGTATTTGAAATAGCCCTTGCTGGGCACATTTCTAAAGGTCACGCAGTTACTGACAGTTTCCATTACTTGTTTTGCTGAACACACCTTGGCCTCTTGCATTAATGCTGCTAACAGAAGGGCTGGACTCCAGAGCTCCAGGCCAAACATTCCATCTGAGTGGCAGAGCCAGTTAGCCAGACTAAGCTAGAGTAGGCTGAGCAAGACTTAGCCATAAACAGCGCCTAAAGCTGTGTCATCTCAAGAGGGCATTCCATGCGGAAATGCCATCTCACCGACACGGCCTCAGCATGAGACCATCTTGCTCACCTACCTCACCAAGTCCATGAAGGCATCTGTGGTCTGCACCTGCTCAATTCTGCCTTCTCGGTGAAGCTTGTCCTTAGATCCTTTTCCTGGGTGGATGATGATCACCATGAGGATGCCAATGAAGACTGCGATGATTGTGGTCACCATGTAGTAGATGACAGCCCGCATGCCCATCTTCCCTGAGGCTCTGCCATCCAGTGAGGCCATTCCTGCAAAGTTACACAGAAAGACAAGGTGAGAAGGTCTACTGTCTTCGAGGGAACGGGGAAGTCTGAGGAAGATTCAAAGCATGCAGGGCATCTGGGTGAGTTGGACGGGGAGCTGAGGTCTCTAGGAAGCACAGCATACAAGGAGCAGACTTTGGAGCTCCAGGGTGATGCTGATATGGAAGAATGTGACTTGTGCTTACGAAGAATCACAGCACTGGTGGGTCTTAGGCTGTGTTTGGGAATGCAGCAATTTCCTCCTAAAGCTCTCAGGAGGGAAATAATCCCCTCTCAGCAAATTGAGACTATAAATCCCTAGTGGTGGGATGTTTCAGCAGGCCATTTCCACTGTCTGAAATCTTGGCTGATTGGCATGTCTTCTGTGACGACCTGGATAAACCGAGCTCTCCAGCCAGTCATCAAGTCCAGCTCTTTTGACCGACATGAATTAACCTTCCCTGGGTTGGAGGAAACCTGAACCTGACTTGAGCAACAAGCTTTTTGATGTTTGAGGTTAGGTAGGATTAAATCCTGGTTAGTGCTTAAGTATTGGGCATTGGAAACACCACGTTGTGTCCTCCTTAGTCCTCTGAGAAAGCAGAAAGCCTTCTTCTTCTCTTTGCCGTTGAGCCAGCAGAGGTATGAGTGTGAATCACGTTCACTACAGATGTAAGATCAGGCTTGTCACTATCAGCCAAGCTAATCCAAGCCCCTCCAGCTGGGGCACAAAGGGATACTCCAACAGCAGCATCTGTCTGTGCTGATTGTTGCCCTGGCAGAAGGCAGCAGAAAGCACTTCTCACCTGTAATCAAGCTAGAGACAATGAGAGGAAGAACCAACATCTGGAGCATACGCATCAGTAGCTCGCCGGGGAAGGAGAAATACTTGATCTGGCGATAGGTCAGCTGGTAGGGCCGGAGGGAAAACGCCAGGATGATCCCTGTGGATCAGCAAGGGGTGAGAATGAAAACAAGACCAGTAGTCCTCGGTCCTACAGCTCCTTTCATCAGCTCTTCCTCTCCCCAAAGGAGGAAATGCTCTTTCTTTTTCTAAAGGGCTCTGAGCCTGTGCGCAGTATTTATTTACTGTATGGTCTCTTTTTAAATTTACTTTTTTATTATTATTTATTTACTCTATGCTCTCTCGCTCCCTCCAACATATTTATATGCACAGGAGTCTCATGCTAAACCACAGGTCTGTTGTTGCCCTGTTGGCTGCTCCTCTGGGGTCTGTTCCCAGGAAGCTCAGGGACACAAAAGTGCTGTGACCAGAGGTACGATATCCCAGCCTAACCTGAGTGCGACTACACAGGTCAGAGACTTTGTCCACCCACCTCTTAAAGCTGAGTTCTGCCAGAGCGTTAGAGGGACGCAGTCTGACTCAAAAGCTAGGGGCAATCCACTGTTTCCCAGGCAGATCTGCTTTGCATCCTATCACAGCCCTTTGCATCAGTTTCCCCTTCTGGTCCTGTCAAACCAAGACTGTGGGACGAACCCAAAGAGCTCTGGTGCCTGTAGCTGCACTCATGAGAAGCCTCTGAACAAACCTGGATGATTTTTTATGAGGCTTGGCAGAGCTGGGTCATCAAACCCTTTCTGTTGTAGACTGTTCATAAGCTGCTGCCAGAAAAGATCAACAAGGCCTCCCTCACACACACCCTCTGCAATGCCTGTTGCAGCACAAAGGTGCTCCAGATGCAGACAGCACTTTGAGCTGCCAGCTCATCAGCTTCACCTCCCCAGCCAAACTGTTACGACAAAATAAAATCTTCATAGAGCACGCAAACTTTTCCTCACATTCCTAAATGGTGCCCAGCGCTGCCGCCAGCCCCATACCTAGTAACACTGCAGCAATGGTGAAGAGGACGAAGGCGTTTCTCCTGAAGAAGCTTTTGGCGCTCTCGGCCGTGATGCTGTGCATCCTCTTCTTGGCCCGC